TAACATCTACTTGTGACTCAATTCTCACCCTGGCTGTTTCTATCCATCTCCTGTGATTTATAATGGCGAAGCTCTGTACACATATTTGAAAAAAAAAAGTATCAATTATTTTTTTTTATAAAGGCAAAAAGAAACTTTTATTAACTAAGTACAAGAGTTTTTTATTTTATTTTTTGTAACTTTGATAGGGAGGCAACACAGCAACCCCACCACAGCCCCCTCCGATACCATCTCTACGTATAAATTTTTAGTTCGTCTAGTAATTTTCTTCTCGAACATGAAGTTCAAGTATACACGCTCTAATTTTTTTTTCTTTTATCTTGCACTTTACAATTAAAAACAATTATGTTGTTCAAATTTAAAATCTTTATATTTCATCATAAAAGGTTTGATATTTAAACATAAATCTCTATATATCATTTTAAAAAAAAGTCATTTGAATTATAAAAATATTAATATAATCTTAATGAATCAACATTTCCAAAAGGATTCATTTTGATTCATTAAAATATATTGCTCCCTTCATTTAATTAAAAGTAGTTTTGGTTTGATTTTTTAATTCTTAAAATAAAAAATTTAGGTTAAAATTTAACATTTAAATAAAAATTTTAAAAATTATCCAAAAAAAAGTGTTAAACAAGAATTATGTATAGGAAATAAAACTTCAATTGAGATTAATTTGCTATGTTAAAATTTTCATCTAAATTTTTTATCTAAAATAAAAAAAAAATCACATAAAAACTACATTATTGAACAAAAGAAGTAATATTTTACATCTTAAATTGTGCTTTTTTTTGGTAGGTCTAAACAAATTTTCCTAATCATAAGGTTAAACCACAATTTTGATTCCTAAACTTTTTGTACAAACCTCTCATTTGTTTCCTCAACTTAATAAATTCTTATTTTGATTTCTAAAGTTTTACATTCCAACTCTTTTTTAACTTGTATTTCAACTTTAAAATCTTAATTTTTGTTGTGTGATTGTGAAAACGGATTCTTACGTTGCTTATCTCCTTGTTGCTAAAAATCCTTGCCTGAATCACCTCTTGAATTCCTTGATCATACATTGCGAGGCACTTTTGGCCTCAATTCCTCGTCATCAGTGTATAAAGAAGTTAATATGTGTGCTTATTACTTTATCAATATGAGTTATTATGGGTGTCACGTTCCAAAACCCAAATTCGGGGGCAAAATAGATACTGTACACTTGTTAAAGGATCTCACAAATGTACAAGACTCGGAACTTGTTAAAATTCATAACTAACAATTCATATAAACTTAGATCAATAACTCAAAATAAATCTGGGTTACAAAAGAATGATCTATATCTCAAAAAAAGTCTATGCCCATAATACAAGTAACTAGCCTTTTAGCTCATCACTCCCATTGGTTTCCTGCGTCTCGGGTTATACTACCTGAAATGGTGGATATGAAAAAACTAGTGAGACAACTCAGTGAGTAAAATATGGATAGCCCTCACCAAAATTTTAAAACACGCTAAGTAAACATTTTAATTTCAAATAGGAAGAAAATCACAGTTATAAATCATTTATGCATACTAGAATCTATTTAGTAGTCCCCTTAATTAGTCATGGCCAGTGTGTTCTCTTAATTAGCTAGATAACAAATATACCAATGTATTCTCCCATTGGCTGGATAGTAGAAAATGTCAATATACTCTCCCACTGGTTGGATGAACTGGCTCTATAGAAATATATGTCGACATGTGCCAGTGTTTAACTCTCACTGGCAGGATAATAGAATTCATGACCATATTGGAGACAAAACCATGCAGGTGTTACAAGAAAATCCATAATTTACAACCAATTTTCAGATTATCAAAACAATCCAATAAAATCCCAATAGGCATGCTCAACTTAATAAACATATTAACAATTTTATTTTAAATCAATCATCCTCATATGCTAAAAATTAGTTTAAATCCTGACACTATCTCAAAAACAGTTTATAATATGCTTTTAAAGCTTTTACTTTGAAATCCAAGGGCATTACCACAAATTTACTTACCTCGTCTTGTAGGTTAACAACAAGCAAGGAATTCAAGAAGGCAAGGTGCTTGAGGTAATTTAGAACCTATACCATATCAAATAAATACTTAAAATATGCTTAAAACAGCTCTAAAAAGACATATAAACAGCAGATATCCCAAACAGATTTTCTGGACAAAATAAGATGGAAAAATGATGAGAAATTGAGCTCTTAGCTATCCTAGACGCAGCAGAAATATTGGGCAACAAAGTGGGGGGTTTTCTGCCATTTAAAGCAATCCCAAAATGCTTAGAAAAGGACCTGAACAGTAGGGATTTCTGGGCAAAAGACAGTAGCAAAAACAAAGTAGAACACAAGTTAGAACTGAGCAAAAATAGACAGTATTAATAAGCTAATAACAAGGGGTTTTAGAGTAGAAAAACAGAAGCTAAAAGTCTACTAAAACTATGATGCAATGTAGCAGCAGATAGGGTGGAAATGAAATAGAAAACAGAGCAAATTTCTGGCAAGTTCTGGCCAAATTTCGTGCTGGAACTTCCAACAGAATTCATGCCTAGAAATTGACTGATCTGGGTTGAGTGGTCAACAGATAAATTGTAGCCCTATGTCTTAGCATTCTATGGCCTCAAGAATTAACTTAATATGAAATCTATAGAGAGAGTTATGGTTAAAATACTAACACAGGTTCAGGCTGTCAGTTAAGTCCGCTTGCGGGAATTGGATTTGCAGCAGATTTTTCACCATGAAACAACTGAACTAGGTTAAACGTCCAACATAAAAGTTGTAAGGCTATCTTTTAGCTTTCTATAGAGTTAAAAATGGACTTAATCCAATAATTACAGAAGGAGTTATGGGCAAATTACTAGAGAAGGGTCATGCAGTTCAAATTTTTGGCAAGTAAAGGAAATCAGTTTCTGGTGGTATTTATCATGGATGAAATCAAGGGGAAACTATAGAAAATTTCTAAAATTTGAAAACCCTAGAGGATTAGAGGTAACCCACTTCAAATCATTGAGGAAAAGATGAGTATTATGGTTGATTTCTTACCAAAATGCGCTGGAAAGATGGAGATCTCCCCTTACACTACACAAGAACCCACATGAACAAGAAATATTGGGGGAATATCAGCAGCTAAATCTGGTTTTGAATCATCATTTTGAGAATCACGAGCTCATAAATCACTAAATCAAACTTAGGAGGGAGAAAAAGAACTAGATCTCACCTTGTTTTTCAGCAAGAAAGTGCTGGGCACATGCTAGAGCTTGTGGAAGCAAGTTTAGAGGGGGGGCTGGGGGAGACAACGCAGAAATGGCAAGGAGAAAAAGGAAAATCAGTCTTAATCCCCTTAAATACCATATTTCACTTTTAACCCCCTTAGGTTTTGTGAATTTTAACTATTAAGCCCCAAATAATAATTTTTTACCACAAAAGTCCTTAACTTAAATTCTAAAATATTGGAAAATTTTGGGATATTACAATGGGCCCACTTTTTCGTTTCACAAAAAACAAAAACAAAGTTAACTAAATTAAAATAAACCAAACCCTTTCAGACATTTATCTTAATTATTTAAATTTCAATAATCAAAATCAAAAATAGAAATTATTAAAAAAAAAAACTAAAATTAAAAAGTAAAGTTAAATGTCAATTATAGTCTCTAAACTTTCAATTTTAAATATAGTCCTTAAACTATTTTTAGCATTTTTTTATCCTTAAATTATGAAAAATATATTTTTTAGTTCTTCCATCACTTAGTCAATTAAGTTTGTTTATATATATATATATATTTAATCTTTGAACTAATAAATTCAATGACTAAAAATTTACATATATTATAAGTTTAGAGACTTGTTAACACTAAAATATAGAAAAGATTGTATGAAATCAAGTACTTTACGATCAAGAATGAAGAGAGCTTACAATGGAGATTGAATGAAGAAAAAATAATCTCCTTCCTAGGCCTAACATTAGGATATTTATAGGATATTATGTAGAATCATTCTAGAATTATAATTCTAGTTAAATTGATGTTTAGTATTCTAATTTTAGTGAGATTTAACTTATTTAATCTTGATAGAACTTTTTTAGGATGCCTCCACATGTCCTAATTCTCATAGGACTCAATTTGGGGTATAACAAAGCTACAAATAGGCTTATTTGGATGTACATAATAGACTAAATAATGAATGGACTAAAAAGGCATATTTTCACCAATAAGAACTTAGTCGAATTGGTACCTATTGACTTGAAATTCTTAATTTAGGGTCAAAATCAAAGGTTCAAACTTTTGTATTGCTAAGCAGCTAATCCTTTAATGTACCAAAAAAAAAAAAAAAAAGATGCATTTTCATAGTTTTGTATTGTGTGGTCATATATGTTTTTAACCATAGCATAGTCTCTATGGAATGCACGCAATAATATCATTTTCAAAGCTCAAGAGATCTCTGCGGAGGATGCTTTTGTGAATATTTAGGTTCGATCTTTCTTGTGGTTAAAAGGAAAGGCTAAGGGTTTTATTTCCACACTTTATGAATGGGAAAATAATCCTATTGACTATACTATGACAATTAGATATGATTTAGTTGATGTTTGTATTATGTAATTGCAAATATATTTTTAGATGGTTCTATAATTAGTAGATGTAATGGGTTTGAGGTATCCCTTGTACCTCTATAATAAATTGTTTTTTGCGGATAAAAAAGAAAAAGAGACCAAAAGAGTGTAAAAAATAGTTTAGGAACTAAAATGTTCAAAATTTAAAGTTTTGAGACTATGGCATTTAACCAAAAGTAAACAACCGATGCATTGGGTTTGGTTTTGTATAAAACAACCGTTGTGCTGTTTAAAGAATTCAACGATCAAAATATTTAGATTAAATATGAAATTTAGTCTTGTAACTTTTAATGTTGAACAAATTTCATCTCTTGACTTTTTTTACACTTTTTTTGTTGGAAAAATATATTTTTTTTTGTCTTTTTTTTAGTTAACCCATTAAATATGTCAAAATGTATATATTTTTAATCCATAAGCTTATGATATGTGCACATTTTGTCTCTAAACTTATAAGTTTAAGGACTAAAAGTGTGGATATATAAATAGATTTAATAGATTAATTGACAAAAAAAATGTATTTTTATAGTTTAACAAAAAAAAGTGTAAAAAATAGTTTAGTGACTAAAAATGTTTAAAATTAAAAGTTAAGAGACTATATAGAATTTAACTAAATATTTAATTGTAAAAGTTTTCGTATTAAAGTATGTGTTCAGTCCTTTATTTTATTAAATTTGAAGTTTTTGACTCTTACCTTATATTATGAAATTTTTAATCCTTAAATTTAAATGTTTTAAAATTTTAGCTCCCTAAATTAATGGAATCCTTTAATAATAAAATATTTACAGTACCAGTTTTTAAAAATTAAAAAGGTAATAATTTAATTTTAAAAGTTTAAAAATTAAAAAAATTAATAAGTAACTTTTTCACATACACTAAAAAAGTATTAAATATTTATAATAAATTGACCAATTAGCTCAATTTGAAAAAAAAAATAATAATTCTAGTTGAGATTAAAGAAAATTTCTTAATTGAATTAAGATAGAAGTCTAAAAGATTAAAAAAATACAGTTAAGAAAATTTTCTTTAATCTCATTCTAATTTTTTTTTTTAGATTGAACTAATTATTTAATTTGATTGTATATATTTAATACTATTCTTATATATGCGGTAAAATTGTCCACTATCCACTAATTATTTTTAATTTACTAATTTTTAAAATTTTTAAACTTTTAAAGCTATATTTTTACATTTTTTATTTTTAAGAACTGATTTTATAAATATTTTAG